CGAGGAGCGCCTCCTTGCAGCTGAGAAGAGTATAGAAGCTGTAGGAGCCTCTCGTGGTGACCCTCATGCCCCCTTCTTTGAGGGGTGCTCCCCCTCCCCCCTTTTGCTCTCTATTGCCTCTACTACTGCGGTCGACTTCGTTGGCACCGAGTCGGTCGGCGCTGCGTCTGCCCCTAGCGCGAGACGCCGCAACGGCAAGGGCAAGGGGGGAAAGGGTGCTGGAGGAGCTGGCGGGGGCGGTGGAGGTGGCGGTGGAGGCGGCGGAGGGGGTGGGGGTGGCGGTGGGAGTGGTGGCGGGGGTGGGGGCTTCGGTGGCGGTAGGAGCGGAGGAGGCGGCGGTAGCGGCGGTGGCGGCGGTGGCGGCGGCGGCGGTGGAGCTGGTCGGGGTGGCTCTGTGCAGCAGGGCGGCTTCGGTGGTGGTCAGCGCCAACAGCAGCAGCGCACTCGTGAGACCCCGCCCCCCCAGCAGCTTCGTAAGTGGTACGCTCCGCGTCAGCGGGGTGGGGGTGCTGGTACCTGTGCCTACGTCCTGCGTACCGGCGACCGCACTGGTGAGCCGTGCGGTGGCCCGCACACCACCTAGCGCTGCTTCGGCCACCTAACGGACGCCTTTCGTCTCCAGTTCCCTGACGCCACTGAAATCTCTCGCTGGGGAGAGCTGCTTAGGTCGGGGGTTGCTATCTTTGATCTTGATTATGATGCTATTCTTGCTGCCATGTATGTTGTGTCTACCAGTGATGAGGGTGACTATTACCTGTGTGTTCCACCCAACCCGAGCATTGAGGCTGCTGCTCTAGGTGCTGGCGAGGCTGCTGCTCTAGGTGCTAGTGCGTCTGCTACTCCAGGTGCTGGTAAGTGTGCTGCCCCAGGTGCAGGTGAATCTGCTCTCTCAAGTACCACGTTGGCTCAGGACTTGCACAACTTCACCCTTGACTCGGGTGCTTCCCGCTTCTTCTTTCGAGACCGCACCACACTCACGCCGCTTCGTCGGCCGGTTGCAGTCTCCTTGGCAGACCCCTCTGGGGGTCCTGTCCTTGCCCACTTTTCCACTCTCTTACCATGTCCGGCAGCCCCTTCTGGCACCCTGTCAGGTCTTTACCTCCCCTCGTTCTCTACAAACTTGGTGAGTGGTGCTGATCTACATGATGGGGGGGTTGACCAGTTCTTTCATGCGATTCAGCGGATGACCCAGTGCACGTGTGCTCGGACGGGCCGACACCTGGCCACGTTTACCCGTCATCCGGGGTCGAGCCTGTACACACTGACTACTGAGTCTCCTCCGGTTGCTGCGTTTAGTCAGGTAGTTGCGTCGGGTCAGGTGTTTGCTGCAGCCTCCAGGTCTGGTTCTGGGTCTGCCCCCTGCTTGTGTCATCTCCTGTCTCACCTGACTCTCCTCTGGCACCACCGCCTTGATCACCCCTCCTTGTCTCGTCTCCGAGGCATGGCCTCCCGTGTCCTGAGGTGTTGATCGGCTGGATCAGTACAACTCGTCACCACCTCAGAAAGAGTTTCGGCTCAGACTTTCCTGTTCTGCGTCTGCACTCCGACAGAGGCGGAGAGTTTTCCTCTGACCTTCTGCAAGCCATCTTTTGTGCACGGGGCATCCGCTGGACGTTCACGCTTCCGGCCTCTCCACAGCAAAATGGGATTGCTGAGCGCCGCATTAGCATGGTCATGGACGTCGCTCGTACGTCCATGATCCATGCAGCTGCTCCCCATTTTCTGTGGCCGTTTGCGCTTCAGTACGCGACGCATCAGATCAACCTTCTGCCCCGAGTCTCCTTGCCGGAGACCTCTCCTACTCTGCGGTGGACGGGGAAGGTTGGCGATGCGTCTGCGTTTCGTGTCTGGGGATCTCGGGCTTTTGTCCGCGACTTGTCTGCGGACAAGCTGTCCCCTTGTGCTGTTCCTTGCGTCTTCCTTGGCTTCCCCCCTGACGCGCCTGGTTGGCAGTTTTACCACCCCACCTCGCGCCGTGTTCTGTCCTCCCAGGACGTCACGATTGATGAGTCGGTTCCCTACTAGCGTCTCTTCCCCTACCGCACTGCACCCCTTCCCCCGTCGCCGCTCTTCCTCGCTCCAGGTCCCTCCCGGGTAGACCCCCTTCCCCCTCAGTGTCCTGCCCCCTCCGGTGTGTCTTAAGTAGACGCACTCGAGCCTGTCAAGGTAGCTGTTGACTCTGGTGCTGCTAGGGGTGCTTAGCCTGCGAGTGTGGGGTCTGGGGGTGCTGAGCTTGGGGGTGCTGAGCCTGAGCGTGCGGAGTCTGGGGGTGCTGAGCCTGGGGGTGTTGAGCCTGAGGTTGCTGAGCCTGGGGGGGCTGTGTCTGGGGGTGTTGAGCCTGGGGGTGCTGCGACTAGGGGTGTGGAGCCTGTGGGTGCTGGGCCTGCTCGTGTAGAGTCTAGCGGTACTGGGTCTGGACGTCCTTCGGGTGCTTCGTCCTGGCGGGAGCTACCCTCTCCATAGGAGTTGCGCGAGTGGTTTGCTCGACGCTGGAGCCGTGCTGCTGGAGCTGGAGTTTCCACTTTTGCTGAGGGTACTAGTGCCCCGGGTCCCGGAGGTGCTCGTACTGGAGGTACTGGAGCTGCTGGGCCTGGGGGTGCTCCTTGTGGTGGAGCTGCTAGCGGTGCTGCTGGGGTAGGTGCTGCTGGAGCTGCTGGAGCTGGAGCTGTTGGGTCTTCCGGTGGTCCAGCTGGGGCTGGAGCTGCTGGGGGTGATGACGCTGGAGGTGCTGCTGGCGCTGGTGCTTATGAGGGTGCTGGAGTTGGCGCTGCTGAAGCTGGGGGTGCTTCTGGCGCTGGTGCTGCCGCTGGGGGTGCTGGTGCTGTACCTGCTGGTTCTGGAGGCGCTGTGCGCCCGCGGCCGTACTTCGCTCCGCTCCTTGAGCAGGTTCTTGGTCTCCCGCCTTCCGCTGGTCCTGCTCGTTCCTTAGCGTGTCCACCGCCTGTCTAGTCCGAGTCACAGTAACAGCTCGCCTCCCCATTGCCTGCTCCTTCTCCCTACACTGGTCCTACTGGAGGTCTTGCTGAGCGTCGTGAGCCTGCGTCTCGTCCTGCGTCGCTTGTTGGTGCTGCTCGCACTAGTCGTTGTGTTCCGCGTCAGCGTCCTCCTGCGGTCCCAGGTATGCACCAGATGGCACTGCGTCCTTCCACTGCTCCACTACGTGTCCCTTTGCCGTCTCCTCCAGATTCCTCTCTTCTTGATTTTGCTGACCCGTAGTCTAACTCTCTTCATGCTGCCAGTCCTACTGTCAACCGTCTTCTAGCTACTATTGTCACTAACCCTTCCTTCGAGTCCACTACTGCGTCTGCCCTAGGTGCTGAGCTTGTCGACTTGCGCCCCATGAGTGGCACCACACAGTGAGGACTACGCTTGCGGCTCTTGGGTTCGCTCCTTCTACAGCCGACCCGTCACTGTTTCTACACACCGACACATCTTTGCCGCCGTTCTGCATCCTCGTGTACGTCGACGACTTTGGCTTTGCTAGTGCTGACACTGCTGGACTCGCCCGCGTGAAGTCCGAGCTGCAGAAGAGACACACGTGCACACACCTGGGTGAACTGCGCAACTACCTTGGCTTGCAGATCACCCGGGATTGAGCACAGCGCACCATTACCCTGAATCAGTCACACATGGTGCAGCAGGTCCTTCAGCGCTTTGACTTCACGTACTCCTCGCCTCAGGCCACTCCTCTGTCTACTCGCCACTCGCTCTCAGCTCTGCCTTCGGATGAGTCCGTAGAGCCGAGTGGCCCGTACCCAGAGCTTGTTGGCTGCCTCATGTACCTGATGACCTGCACTCGACCTGACCTTGCATACCCTCTTAGCATCTTGGCACGCTATGTTGCTCCTGGGAGACACAGACCAGAGCACATGGCTGCAGCGAAGAGGGTGTTGCCCTACTTGTGCAGTACGTTGGGCATGGGGCTTGTGCTTCGAGGGCGGAGTCCAGTGGTCCTCACGGGTCACTCGGACGCTTCTTGGGCTGACGACCAGGCTACGCAGCGGTCGTCACAGGGCTACACCTTTAGCCTTGGTTTCGGCTCTGTTTCGTGGCGGGCTACTCGCTCGTCTTCTGTTCTCAGCTCTAGTTGTGAGGCTGGGATCTACGCAGGAGCCATGGCTGCACAGGAGCTTCACTGGCTCACCTACCTGCTGACCGACCTAGGAGAGCCGCCTCGTTCTCCTCCAATTCTGTACGTAGACAACAAGGCCATGCTGGCCTTGTGTCGGGAGCACAGACTGGAGCACAGAACGAACCACATTGCTCTTCGCTACTTCCTTGCTCGTGAGCTGCAGCAGCGTGGCCAGCTGCGCCTTGCTTATGTGGGCTCTCGGGCCAACACTACTGATATCTTTACCAAGGCACTTCAGCCTTGTGATCATCAGCGCTTTTGTACGATGCTAGGTCTTGTGCCCACTTGGCCTCACTTGCTCACTTCTTGACCTTGCTTGTACTGTGATCTATCTATACCTGCACTTGCTTGTTTACCTTTATATATATAATCCTGCATGTGAACTGGCCTTCTGGCCTTGAACTGGTGCTCGGATTTGTGGTGATATTGTGATCCACCCTGAGCTTTCTTTGCTTGACTGGTCTTGTGACCCCTAGTTCTCCCCCACTTTGCCTATTGGGGTGTGTCAGATATATATGACATAGTATTTGTAGGCTCTAGCGGGGTAGACACTAAGGAGTACAGGTTTCTAGGGTTTCATATTTGTATCACACACTTTTCTACTTCATCCATTCCTCATTATTTCACACGTGGCTGCAACGAGTAGCTGGAGAGCGCGGCTCAGCACCTCCGGGGGCGTGCCTGCTACAGGCAGCAGATGCAGTGATGGCAGATAGAGCCACAGTGACCTCAGCCATGGCAGATGCAGCAGCAACAGGTGCAGGAACCGGCAGGTGGGCGAGAGAGCAGGCGCTGTGGCTGCAACGAGCAGCTGGACAGCACCGCTCAGCACCTCCGGGGGCGTGCCTGCTACAGGCAACGGCTGCAAATGCCCTACTTACTTCTTCCACCCCCTTACCCGCCATTCAACCCCTCTGGTGCCGGCGGCTGGCGCTGGGGCTGGTTCCTGGTGCTGTCGCTGGCGCTGGGGCTGGTTCCTGGTGCTAGCTGCTGGCTCTGGGGCTGGTTCCTGGTGCTGGTGGCTGGCGCTGGGGCTGGTTCCTGGTGCTGGCGGCTGGCGCTGGGGCTGGTTCCTGGTGCTGGCGGCTGGCGCTGGGGCTGGTTCCTGGTGCTGGCGGCTGGCGCTGGGGCTGGTTCCTGGTGCTGGCGGCTGGCGCTGGGGCTGGTTCCTGGTGATGGCGGGTGGCGCTGGGGCTGGTTCCTGCTGCTGGCGGCTGGCGCTGGGGCTGGTTCCTGGTGCTGGCGGCTGGCGCTGGGGCTGGTTCCTGGTGCTGGCGGCTGGCGTTGGGGCTGGTTTTCGGTGCTGGCAGCTGGCGCTGGGGCTGGTTCCTGGTGCTGGCGGTTGGCGCTGGGGCTGGTTCCTGGTGCTGGCGGCTGGCGCTGGGGCTGGTTCCTGGTGCTGGCGGCTGGCGCTGGGGCTGGTTCCTGGTGCTGGCGGCTGGCGCTGGGGCTGGTTCCTGGTGATGGCGGGTGGCGCTGGGGCTGGTTCCTGCTGCTGGCGGCTGGCGCTGGGGCTGGTTCCTGGTGCTGGCGGCTGGCGCTGGGGCTGGTTCGTGGTGCTGGCGGCTGGCGTTGGGGCTGGTTTTCGGTGCTGGCAGCTGGCGCTGGGGCTGGTTCCTGGTGCTGGCGGTTGGCGCTGGGGCTGGTTCCTGGTGCTGGCGGCTGGCGCTAGGGCTGGTTCCTGGTGCTGGCGGCTGGCGCTGGGGCTGGTTCCTGGTGCTGGCGGCTGGCGCTGGGGCTGGTGCTGGTGCTAGCGGTTGGCGCTGGGGCTGGTGCTGGTGCTGGCGGCTGGCGCTGGGGCTGGTGGCTGGCGCTGGTGCTGGTGCCTGGTGCTGGCATGACGGCGCTGGAGATGGTGCTGGTGCTGGCGGCTGGCGCTGGTGCTGGTGCTGCTGATGGGGCGCGACGGATGGGATGAGCTGCGGATGGGCTACAGGCTGGGCGGGATCTGGCGGTGTGCAGGGGACGGGCTGCAGCAGCAAAGGGCGCGCGAGCGCTGGTGCGATCGCCGGTGCGCTGGCGGTCGTCGCTGATGTGCCGCCGCCACTCCCTTCCCCCCTTTCTTCTCCCCCTCACAGCGTTCCGCCGCCACTCCCTTCCCCTCCTCTCTCTCCTCCCCACAGCGTTCCACCGCCTCTCCCTTGCCTTCCTCCCTCTCCTCCCCATGGCGACCGCCGCTGCACACGCAAACAGACGCGACGGGGGAGGTGACGGACAGGGGGCGGGGGGAATGTGACGAGCAGAGCGACGGCGAGCAAAGGAGCGGCTGGGGCGATCGCCGGTGCTCTGGCGGTCATCGCTGGCGTTCCCCCGTCACCCCTATGGCGCAAACGCGAACGCGGGCCGCTGGCGACTTCGCTGGCGGGTCGCTGGCGGCGGGTCCACTGGCGTTTGCCATAGCGTCCGCTGCGCCCGTCGCGCTGAGAGCCGCGACGAGGCAGGCGACGACGATGCGACGGGCAGGCAACAGGGGGCAGCGCGAGCAGCAGAAAAAAAAACGCAAGGTGCGGATTTCACGCCACTAACTGTAGCAGTCGCGAAATGTGGTGGGCCCATAAACGAAATAGGTCCTAGGAGGGACCGCTCTGTTACCATGTTACAATACGATCTTAGTCTAGGAACCGTGGTTTACTAAGGGCCTAGGCTTAGTAGCCTAGGCCAAGCGGGTGTCGAGGTGGTTGTACGAAGGAGAATCGAGAAAGGAATAGTTTCACTATAGCACACAAGGTACATATAGTAAAAGAGCAACGGTGCACCACCAACAACAAGAAGGCATAACTACACTAAAGCTAAAGCTACATGCAGTTATGAACATATATAAAATATATATCGCGACAGGAGGCGTTGGCGAGCTGGAAGGGCAAGGCGGTGAAAGCGGCCATGGACGAGGAGATCAAGAGTCTCAACTCTAACGGGACCTGGGAGCTGCTCGAGCGTCCGCGCGGTGTCAACGTGATGAAGAATCGTTGGGTACTCACAACGAAGTACCACGTCGACGATACGGTCACCCGCGAGAAGGCGCGTCTGGTGGTGAAAGGTTTCACGCAGGTCTATGGCGCAGATTACGACAAGACATACGCGCCAATGGGGAGTTACATAACTCGGCAGATTTTTCTTAGCATCGTCGCTGTCCTCAACCTGCACCTGATGCAGCTGGACATGAAAAATGTGTTTCTGCAAAGCAAGCTGTATCGCGTCCTGTACATGTACCAGCCCGACTACTTCAACGACGGCGCCAATCGCGCGTGCAAGCTGCTGAAGAGCATGTACGGACTGAAGCAGAGTCCGCTACTATGGTACTCGGCGCTCGACGCGGTGCTAACTGGCGCAGGCTGGAAGAAGAGCCAGGTCGATGAGGCTCTCTACTTCAAGGTCGGCGACGACGGAGTGGCGTGCTGGGTGCTCATCTACGTCAACGATCTGCTCGCCGCAAGCAGTAGCACTGCGATGTTGAAGGAGCTGCTGGAGGCCGCCTTCGAGTTGCACGAAATCAGCCCGATCGAGAAGTATCTCGGGCTGGAAATCGTGCGCAACCGTCCTGCGCGGAAGCTGTGGCTTCATCAGCAAGTCTACGTTGACAAGCCGCGTCGGCGTTTCATCGACAAGGAGCAGACCGGGCGAGTTCCAAAGACGCCGGTCTCCGTCGACGCCTACGCAGAGCTGATGTTCGATGACGAGGAGTTTCAGTCCCGCGAGGAAGCAGAGTACCGGCAGAAAGTCAGCTCGCTGCAATTTGCGGCCACCACGACGAGGCCCGACATTGCCTTCACTTGCAGCAAGCTCGGATCCGGCCTGACAGTGCGGAGTGACAACCACTGACGTTAGGTCAATCGCTGCCTGCACTACCTTGCTAAAACCTCTGACGCCGCTCTGGGGTTCGGCGGTGGACCAGATTCCCTGTGTCTGGTCGGCTATGCAGATGCCGACGACGCTCGTGACAAGCAGAATTGGACGAGCACGGGCGGCTACGTTTTCGTCTTTGGTGGAGCCCCTGTCTTCTAGTCGAGCCATCGCATCGAATGCGCAATGCTCTCGTCGACCGAATCAGTGTACGTCGTGGCGACCGAAGCCGGCAAGGAGGCTCACCGTCTACGCTCTTTCCTTGGAGAGTTCCGTCTGCTCGATGCAAGAAAGCCGACTGTTTTGCACGTCGACAACCAGTCGGCAATCACTGTCGCAGAGGGCTTGGGGCTCAAGGGTAACTTCAAGCACATGGAGCGACGCTACGCGTGGCTGCAGCAGATGGTGAAGCGCGGGGAGATTGCTCTGTAGTACATCCCGACCACCGAGCAGCCGGCGGATTTTCTGACGAAGGCACTGCATTTTCCGGCTTTCAACCGGTGCTCCATCGCAATCGGCCAAGTGCGTCTAGCCGGCGTGGGCGACAGGGATGACGAGGTGCAGCAGTAGATGCCATGCCCTTCTGCACGGCCGGTGCGGTGATGTGCGTGCTATGTGTTGGGTGCATGCAGACGGACTGTTCTCCTTGTATTTTGTCCCTCTGGGTTCTGGGTGGACCTTGTGTGTGGGTGCCCAAGCAAGAGCTAGCCAGGGGAATGTCGAAGAGAAAAGCCCTGCCCTCGCTTAGGCACAGCCGATCTCGCCATCGATAGGAAGTTCTCGACGGATTGGTCGAAGAAGTGGGCTTTTGCAGTTTGACGGAAGTTGTGGTCGAGCAGGCTCTACTCGACAGAATCTGGTGGACGAGCTCTGCGCGACGCTTCTGGTCGAAGAGTTCGCGTCAAGGAGCTCTGCTCTCCGACTGCTGTTCAACATAACAATGTCAAGCTAATCAATCGAAGTTGCATAGTTGTTCGAAACTCTGCAGAGGCGTGCGAACTTTCGCCCAGGAGGTTTTTGTTGAACTATATTTATATGTTTCTTTATAATTGTCTGCAGTGTAGAGTGTAGCACATCCCAATTTTCTGTAGGTGGTGCACCATGCTTCTCCTTGCTATATCTTGTACTCATCTTTCTTAGTGAAGCCCTTCTTTTCAACAATTCTCTCGACACCTCCCTCAACCCTAAAACATAAGTTCTTCCCTACTAAAGCTATGGCTTCTAAGCCTAGCTGTCCTTAGTGATTCTAACAGTTTTGGCGAAGTTCTACCTGCGAAACGGCATCACGTGGTCGACGGTGCGCACCTGGCAAAACCGACGACACGTTTCTACCTGGCACCTACGCAATGTGCCTGACGGTGAAACCGCCAACCTGCACCTACTTGGTAGGTGCGCACATCTGCGCAGATAGACAACATGCGACCGCAGATAGTTACATGCGACTGCAGATAGTCACATGTGACTGCAATGCTAGCTCACCGCGCGCAGAGCAACGCTGGCAGATCACTCTGCTGCAGTGTTGACAATCTGCTCTTCTGTGTGAAGAAAAGAAAACAGGAATGAAATGACTAAGGAAAGATTGGGTACAAATACAACCCTAGAAACCCTGTACCCCATATGTGCTACCCCACTATAGCCTACAGCAACTATGTCATATAAATCTGACACACCCCCATAGGCAAAGTGGGGGAGAACAAGGGGTCACAAGACCAGTCAAGCAAAGCAAAGCAAGCTCAGGGTGGATCACAAAGTCACCACACAGTCCGAGCACAAGAGTAGGGCCAGAGGCCAGTTCACATGCAGGAGTACAGACATATATATAAAACTAGACAAACAAGAGCAGGCATATATATATGTCACAGTACAAGCGAAGTCAAGAGGAGAGCAAGTGAGGCAAGACAGGCACAAGACCCAGCTGGGTGCAAAAGCGCTGATGGTCACAAGGCGCGAGTGCCTTGGTGAACACATCAGCAGTGTTGGCCTCAGAGGCCACGTACGCAAGTCGCAACTGACCACGCTGCTGCAGCTCACGAGCAAGGAAGTAGCGGAGAGCAATGTGCTTCGTTCTGTGCTCCAAGCGCTGCTCTCGACACAAGGCCAGCATAGCCTTGTTGTCTACGTACAGCACTGGAGGAGAACGAGGCGGCTCTCCAAGGTCAGTCAGCAGGTAGGTGAGCCAGCGAAGCTCCTGTGCAGCCATGGCCCCGGCGTAGATCTCAGCCTCACAACTGGAGCCGAGAACCGAAGACGAGCGAGTAGACCGCCACGAGACAGAGCCGGAACCAAGGCTGAAGGTGTAACCCTGTGACGACCGCTGCGTAGCCTGGTCGTCAGCCCAAGAAGCGTCCGCGTGGCCGCTAAGGACCACTGGACTCCGCCCTCCAAGCACTAGCCCCATGCCCGACGTACTGCACAGGTAGCGCAATACCCTCTTCGCTGCAGCCATGTGCTCCGGTCTGTGTCTCTCAGGAGCAACATAGCGTGCAAGAATGCTCAGAGGGTATGCAAGGTCAGGTCGTGTGCAGGTCATCAGGTACATGAGGCAGCCAACAAGCTCTGCATACGGACCACTCGACTCTACGGACTCATCCGAAGGCAGAGCTGAGAGTGAGTGGCGAGTAGGCAGAGGAGTGGCCTGAGGCGAGGAGTACGTGAAGCCGAAGCGCTGAAGGACCTGCTGCACCATGTGTGACTGAGTCAAGGTAATGGTGCGGCGTGCTCTGTCCCGAGTGATCTGCAAGCCAAGGTAGCTGCGCAGTTCACCCAGGTCTGTGCACGTGTGTCTCTTCAGCAGCTCGGACTTCACGTAGGCGAGTTCAGCAGTGTCCGCTGTGGCAAAGACCAAGTCGTCGACGTACACGAGGATGTAGAACGGCGGCAGTGAAGTGTCGGTGCGAAGAAACAGCGACGGGTCAGCAGTAGAAGGAGCAAACCCAAGAGCCGCAAGCGTAGTCCTCAGTGTGTCGTGCCACTCACGCGGTGCCTGGCGGAGACCGTAGACTGGCCGTCGGAGGCTCCACTGGGTGCCAGGAGGGAAAGTCCCAGTGAAGCCAGGTGGACGGCGAAGCCAGATCTCCTCGTGCAGGCTATCCTGCAAGAACGCAGTGCTGAAGTCGAGAGAGTGAAGCTCGTAGTCGCGCTGAGCGACTATGTGCAGCAGCACCCGAAGAGTAGTCATCTTCGGGGTGGGAGAGAAGGTCTGAAAGTAGTCAACTCCCTGCCGCTGACTGAAGCCACGAGCAACGTACCGTGCCTTGAAGACAGGTGGAGAGCCCGGCGGCCGCTTCACCCAGAAGATCCACATGCCACTGACGATGTTCGCCCCGGGAGGGGGAACCGCGTCAACGTAGGTGTCTGTGGACTTCCAGGAAGCCATCTCTGCATCCATAGCTGCCTGCCACTGAGAGGAGTAGGGACCCTCTACGGCCTCCGTGTAAGAACGCGGAGTCGGGATGTCTAGTGCATCCGGGTCTCCCTCAGGGGCAAGCAGTACAGACGCGAGATGAGGTGAAGCAGCCGCTAGACACTGTAACTCCTCCTGCCTGTCCTCTAGGACGTCCGTGCCAAGAGCACACTCACCCCCGACGGACGGAGGACAGACAGACGCAGACTCAGCAACAAGACTAGCAGCGTAGTCGAGACGACAGCGAGCAGCAAAGTCAACGAGCTCAGCGACTAGAGCAGA